TCGCTAAACAAACAAAGCTCCTTTTGAAATCACAGCAAACTTCAAGTTACCTAGGGAAGCTGACTTCTAAGCTATCCCAGAACAAAGTCCACAGTGATGACAGAATGGCCCATGCAAGGTACAAATATGATGTGGAGCAGGGCACGGGTTTCTGGGATGTAAGAATGGACACGAACAAAATCCTTTCCAGTAGAGTCTAGGTGGGAAGACCTGCACTGGTGAAGGGAGAGAATGAGGATATTATCAGGTTGCTGCTATAGAATTTGGATTTTTTACCTTCTAGGCAATTCAGTCATATAAAAGAGTTTTTAACAGTAAAAAAAAAAATGTAGGGCCTAGGAATACAGTTCAGTAGATAAGAGTGTTTTCTGTACAAGCATGAGGGCTCAAAACCCATATAAAAAGACAGGTATGACCAGATACATCTGTAAGCCCAGGATTACTGGGGTTGCTGTCCAGCCAGTCTAGCTGAAAATGATGCACTCCAGCTTCAGTGAGAGACTCCATCTCAATGCAATAATGCAGAAAGTGCTAGATCATGAGATCCAATGTTCTTCTCTATGATCCTCACACACGTGGGTTCTCTCTCTCTCTCTCTCTCTCTCTCTCTCTCTCTCTCTCTCTCTCTCTCTCTCCTATTGTAGCACTGCTTTCCAAAGCAGTGGAAGGACAGAGATCCTTTAAGGAGATATTTGCTATACTCGATGACAGAGAAGATGGGAGCAAAGGGGACCAGGTATCTTTATGATTAGAGAGTTAAGCATGCATGTTGCTTACTGAGCTATGTTGCATTTTGATAACTGTCATATTGTTGCAGGTGTGGTGTGGCTTGTGGCCATCATCATAGGATCACCCATGTGGCATGTACAGCGACTTGAGGTAGGCTCAGAGCTGAGATATTTTCTCAACCCTCCTTCTTATATTTATTTTCCTTTCTTGGAGAATATTATGGTGAGTATATATGACCTCATCCATTTCTGTAAAATCAGATGATGTTTTCAAATTGTCTTCTCTTTTATTTAAGTCTACTGGATGCTGCACCACTAATATTTAAAGTTAAAATTACAAAAAGCAAGTTCCAAAATGACCTTCTTCCCATTTTCTTAGCTTAATATGTTTTTTCTAATATCCCAGTCCTGTTACATGAGATTTCAATGACTGTTTCGACATTGTCATTGTTGTTGTTGTTTTTGTTATTATTGTTATTATTTTATGAGACAAAGTTTTTCTGTGTAGCCCTGGAAGTCCTGGAACTCACTCTGTAGACCAGGTGGTCTTGCATGCAGAGATCCACCTCCCTCTGCCTCCAGAGTGTTGTGATTAAAGGTGTGCAACATCAATGAATGCCTGGCTGATTTTTTTTTTTTTTAATTTTAAGTCAGCCAAAGCTGTAACAGATTGTCCCCTTGGTAGCTGATTTTTCCTGTTGTCCTAGCCACTAGCAAATGGAAATATGAATTAGAATCATGTCCAGGTCTTGATTTTCTCCTGCTTTAGTCTTTTCCCACACCTTTTGTAAGATTCTTCCATCATGTGAAGGAATTTACAGTGAAAGATCAGGTTAGAATAGTGGTTCCGGACAGCTTAGCCTGTCTCCTGAGGTGTACATTAGCATGACTTGTAGTGTAACACAGGTCTTTGTCTTTAAAGACAATAGGGCATTCATCACACAGCCTGGAATACAATTTATAAAACAATATGTTCCTTTGTATTCTTAAATACAGACATGCAAATCTGAATCCTTCCTGTGTATACCACATTCTTTACCTAGGATTCCAAATGAGACCTGATATGAAAGTACATTGGAGAAAGTAGCTCAAGGACGAGGGGGCTGTCCCAGTGTTAGAGGGCTTGCCCAGCAAGTACACATCGTAATACTAAAACTGCAAGGATAAACAAAATAAGAAGTGTCTTGGTATTCTTTGTGTAACTGATCCACTGAGTGAGCTGGCCTCTGTGAAAGCAGAAAGTGGCTTTTTTCCATTGCCACCTGCGAAAATATCCCCTGAGAATTTCAAAATAAAATATGGATGAAACGTTGAGCAGACCCTGAAACTTACAATTAAATTCACTCAGGTAATTAAACTCCTGTGGCTTCTGTCAGTCAGAACAATGGTATCTTCTCTGCTATAAGACACAAAGGTCAGTGTCCCAGTCACACATACTCTGGCAACACACATACTAAAATTGGAGTTATTTAAAATTTTGTCTTCCCCTTAACTTAAAATGCTTTTAGGCTTCTTTTTACACATTTGGCACCTCTCTCAGTACAGTAAAGAAAGGAGTGAAAACTGAGCAGATGTATTGGTACTGACATGGGTGCTGCCCAGGACTGATTCCTTCTGTCTGGGATTTCTGATAACACCTGTGAAGTTCTAGCTGTGCCTCTATTCTCCAACCCATTACTCATCCCTATAGCCGCTATGGCTGCCTCCTTCTGCTGGTGCCACCCCATACCTCCAGCAACATGAAATATATAAATGACAAAATCTAGTTCTCAATCCTGGAGCTCATTTCCTGCCCGCAGAAATCAAACAGATTTACCATTTTAATAAAAATGTCTTATCAAACGTTCTAAATATATAAATCATTTCACTTGTAGAGAATTTATCTTCCAGATCTAATAGGCAAAGCCATACTCATTGCTAAACTCAGCCAAACCCTTTTTTGTTTCTTCAGGAAAAATTCAGGTTTCACTTTTGAAATAAATATACTAATGTGCATCCAGGATCATTTTGAAACTCCATTAGAAAGACTGCAATTGAGTGTAAGAACCAGATCATGTTCACAAATGATAGACAACATCAAAGCCAGTCTTTTGTGATCTTGTTGTTTTCTCTGGGCTCTCTCATGGTTGAGTTGACTCATAGTCTTTAGGGATGGAAATGGAAGGATTCAATATAAAGTGTCCTTATTTCTCCCCAGTGAATAAAAATGTGAATTCGCAGGACCCCAGACATCATCAGAATACTGTCTCCCTAATTCTTGGGGTACCTTGATAAAAGTTTACTCAGGACAGGGGACAGGGAATTGCAGAATGCTTGCCCAGTGGATTTATGTTTTCTGGATCAGGGTGGCTTTAGTGGCATGAGTCTTTTGAGTTGTGCTCAGCAGCAAAGTTTGGCTTGGATGAGGGACGTGGCCATCTTGAGTTGGAGTAGGTTGTGATGGAAGTGAAAATATAGATGGATCTCAACCCCAGCTACAATCATGAAGGTGAAAAATTAGAGAAATATGTGCCTGGAAATAGCAAAGTCAGAGTAGGGGTGCAGCTCAGTGGTAGGATGAAGATGGACACTGTAAAATAATCTCACATTAGCTCAGAATTGAGTATAATAAAGGATTCTTTATTCAGGGGTAGACTCACAGATCACAGTCCTCTGCATGAATGGAGAATAGAAACCACATCCAGAGAGAGAGAGAGAGAGAGAGAGAGAGAGAGAGAGAGAGAGAGAGAGAGAGAGAGAGAGAGAGCGAGCAAGCTTTATGGCTGCATTTATAGTATGAGAGTAAACGCCCAAGTCAGCTGCTATCTTAAAGGCTATTGGCTGACGGAGTTCCCACAGTACCTCCCCTTTTGTATAAATAAGAGAATTCTAAGCCTAATACAAAACTATATACAATTAGAACAAATATCAAGTATAAAAATTAGCATAAACAATATTAAGCAAGAAACATATGCTAAATGTTTCAGTAATTATCCTATCCTAAGGAGCCTAAGTCTTGTATTAAAAATGGCTTGACCAAATCATGAGAGAAAAGTAACTACAACTATCTAGTCTCCAGCCTTATCAAAGACCTTAGAAGGGAAATAATATTAATTGAGTAAATAGAAAGTGCAATCAAGCAACTTCTAAAATGTGCAATAAATGACAGAGACAGTTGACTACCTGGGTAATCACCCCAAGTCTCATTTGCAACATTGGAGCAACCAACTTAGAGTAAATGACTTAGAGTAAGGCTTAGAGTAAATGACTGATTATTTTCAGAGGCAGAAAAATTTTCAGGACCATCTTACCCTGTCTTGGCAAAGTTTGGCAGTCTATTTTTTTTTTTTTTTGTATCCTGCTTGTCCTTTCCGGATACCATGCATTTTATTAGTGGTTGAGAAATGGACAGTCCTTTGCCCAAAGGCCAGTTTTGCCAAGAAGAAAACAAGCTCCAAGTAGACTGTCTTTGGTGCTCAACATTCTCTTGGGAATGCATAATGGTGAAAGATCTAAGAGTTATAAACAAGGTAATTCAACCTATGGACCCTTTACAATCTTGCATTCCCTTCTTACTCAATTCTGCCAAAGCAGCTTCTTTTTTCACCAATGGTATTCATAGCATACACAGAGGAATCCCACATCACCTCCCCTTTTCTGTCTAAATAAAAAAAGGTTTTAACTTTAATATAGCAAGATTACATACAACAAAACAGTTATCAAGCAAGAATTACAGTAATAATATTTATATTTACTTTATCTTTTATCATAACTAAAAATACTATAATTATAACTATTCTCCAACTTCATCAAAGACTCCAGAAAGATATAATGGTCCCTAAGTAAACATGAAGTGCATTGTAAGCAATTTCCAAAACTCTAGAATTGACAGAGACATCTTGCTACCTGGACAGTCACCCAAAGTTCTTCTGTAATATTGGCACACCCATCTTCAGCCTACAGACCCAAAGTATCTGGCAGATACTTTCTTCCATAAAAAAGAAAAATTCAAAGACATTTCCACCTATATGGGCAGTGTGCCAGTTACTTCCTTCTGTGACCTGCAGAATGTCTGGCAGACTCTTTCATGTAGCAGAAACCCTGAAGGATTGTCTCACTTTTAGGCAAGTTCAGCAGTCATTTTTCTGTGGCTCCTATGTGTCCAGTTCATACAACATACCATCAAGCAGTGCAGGCAAGAGTAGTTTCTTAACCAAATAGCTAGCAAACTATAAGAGAGCTTCTTTGATGACCATCATCCTCTTGAAGTAGATTGGTGCTGCTAGGAGTAGATGAGTCTCATTGTTATGAAAAGTCCTAAGTTCTTAAAACATTTAAATACCATATTCTGTAAGTCTTTGAAAGGTTTGAAGGATACCTATCTATCTAAAATGTATCTCATCTCTGTACATCTAGAAAACCTAATTAACATGACTACAAGCTTGGCTATTATAGATGACTACCTATTAACCTGTATTCCTTAATTATATATTACATTTTCAAATGAGCTGCACAAACACAAAATCTTAATCAAGAGCAGAAATATACATATAACAAAATTGACCTTAAATTTGTATCAATAAGCCAAGACCCATACCAATGCAAAGTATTCATTTCTATAGCAGTAGTTCACTTATCTTGCATGTATGCAAGACTCTCAGTTTGTTCCTTATAGCTATAAAAAATCACAAAGTGAGCTGGGCGGTGGAGGTGCACGCCTTTAATCCCAGCACTCGGGAGGCAGAGGCAGGCAGATTTTTGGGAGTCCAAGGCCAGCCTGGTCTACAAGAGCTAGTTCTAGGACAGGCACCAAAGCTACAGAGAAACCCTGTCTCGAAAAACAAAAAAACAAACAAACAAAAAAATTCACAAAGTGAATGTAAAACTGGTTGCCATGAATCTATATTCAGATGTATTTGGGATCCTTTGTTTATCTCTGGCATTTCATGAACCCATCACAGTTTACCACTGAGCTTTCAGGGTGTTTAAGTACATGACCGCTATGGTCACTGACCCTTGTGGGCTCTGCCCACATGGCGTCAGAAATAATTTCATTTTCATATCTATTTCCATTAAGTGTTATCATTCATAGTTTTACTCATCAATAAAATCTGAACCACAACTCAAATGATCTTAACCTTTGAATTGATGCTGAAAATTGGTGATGAGACTCTCTAGGACTATAAATATGTCAGCGGGAACTCCACAGTGACTGAGATTTGATAAGGTCGTTCCTTTGCATGCCTATCCCAATGATAAGACTTGGCATATATTTTAAATGTTCACTTTGTATCTGAAAGGAGCATTTTAGCATTTAATACTATCTATCATGGCTGTAAACAGTGAATTTAGGACTTAGAAGGTGAGGGCACTGGACTCAGAACAGCAAATTAATTGTTAAACAAATACAATCAAAATACCTATAATGTGACAATAGTTTAAATCCAGTATCTTGTTCATTTCAGCTTTTGAAAACTACCAGCTGCCTTTACAATCTTACATGAACCAGATAATAATGGTAAAAACATGGCCATGTTCCTTCTGCTTTGAAAAAGATTGATGCTTGTCAAGTCTCTTTCATCAGAACCTGAGAAAGCAAATGAAACAGTTGAATTAATATTAATCTGACTAGCATATGATACACAGTATTTTCCCATGTGCACTCTCTCAGCTAACTGAAAACTTGTGGCCAGTGAAACAGAAGTTGAGACAGGTTTTTTAAAAAGTGACCATTGTAGACACAGTCCTGCATTCCATTTAAATGCACAAAGTACAAAATCAAAGCCTTAGTAATCAAGGGAAAGCCTACAGTTGCAATAAAATAACTGTAAAGGCTGATTCAAATTCTAAAAACTTCATCAGTAACCATGTGGGAGGTCTCTGAGAGGTCACAGTGGATGACACTTGGCTGCATTCTGCTCTTTGGATGCCGGTTATTGCATTTTGTAACTTTCTTGTTCTCACCGTAAAGGTTAAATATGACTTCCTATATGAAAAAGAACACATCTGCTGCTTGGAGGAGTGGAGCAGCCCCACGCACCAGAAAATCTACACCACCTTCATCCTCGTCACCCTCTTCCTGCTGCCTCTCTTGCTGCTGCTCGTCCTCTATGGTAAAATCGGTTATGAGCTTTGGATCAAGAAAAGAGTAGGGGACAGCTCAGCGCTCCAAACTCTTCACGGAAGGGAGATGTTCAAAATAGCCAGGTCTGTTTATGAAAGTATTCGCCAGTGTTAAAGTTTGTTTTATTAGTGGTGCTTGAAGGGACAGTTGCCTGGGTAATTCAGTCTGAGCATTATCGATAACTCAGTTTGAGAGCATGGGCTCATTGAAACCGTGATGCTATGGGGTGGTGTCAAGATCCACTGTGCTCCCCCTCTGCCAACAGCATTAGAAATATGCAGAAATCCTTGCTTCAGAGGACCCCGAGTTCTGCACAAGTACAAGGGCATATGTTTGCATCTACCCTTAGCTCTTCCCACTTGAGAAGAATGTTAAACTACTGAGATGATGTGAAAATCCTTTGAAACTCCAGAATGCAACTTATTTTAAATGATTATGATTGAGACTTTGTATTTTAACTCAAAGGCAGTGATATCTCATTTTATTTATTAGCATCAATTTCAAGACAAATGTCACTGCTGTATTTCTTATTTCCATGACATAATAGTCTATGTGGAACGACTGTTAAGCAAACAAGCAGAATTTTGCCTAGATTAGTGACTTGACAGGATTGCATGAATTCTTCTAGTATGTAGTGACCTCTAGTGACCAGTTAAGGAAACTTTCCTCTGAGTGCATGATGGAGCCCAAGGACAGCTTAGCACACCCAGACCTATGGGTACCATGTCCCCAGAGGACAGCTGAGCACCCCCAGATCTAGTGGTACCACTTCCTCAGAAGAAAGGGTTGTTAAACTGAAATGACAGACGGTGAGTCTGGACTTTTAAAATAGAAAGCAACAGGCACATGTGATGGAGAAAGGTCATTGGTTAAGTAATAAAGAAACTGCTTGCCCTGATAGGTTAAAACATAGGTGGGTGGAGTAAACAGAACAGAATGCTGGGAGGAAGGGGAAGTGAGCTCAGACTCGACAGCTCTGCTCTCTGGAGCAGAGACGCCATGCTCCCCTTTCCCGGGCAGACGCACGCCATGAAGCAAGCTGCCAGGTCAGACATGCTGAATCTTTCCCGGTCAAACTGATGCTACACAGATTATTAGAAATGGGCTAGTCCAGGTGCAAGAGTTAGCCAGTAAGGGATAGAGCTATTGGGCCAAGCAGTGTTTAAATGAATACAGTTTGTGTGTTGTTGTTTCTGGTGTAAAGCTAGCCGTGCGGGAGCCGGGCGGGATGAAAAGCAGGCCTGCAGCACCCCACAACACACATGTGTAAACCTGTGGAGATGTAAATCTAATTTGGAGGAAAGAAGAAAATCAGCTTGAATTTCTGGCTGATCATATTATAAAGTTTAGTTCTATCCTTGAGGCTTACTGTATTTCATAAGTACTGCTTTAAACACATGCTGAGTGAATGGAATCCACATCCCTGAAGAGACACTCCTAAACTTAAACCCAGAGGACATCATTTATTAGTCATCCTATTGTTAATTAAATTTTCACTTTCCCCAGTTTCTGCCTCTGTCCACTGGCTTATTGGGGAAATGAAAGCCGTATGTCTGTAGTCTAGCCGAGTTCCAGACTGAGCACTTATCACAGGGGTGTGTGAGGTACGGAGACTGTAGAGATGAGGAGAAGCAGATAATCTGCCCACGAGCAGCCTCAGGAAGTTCACCAACACTTGAAAAAGTGTGGTTACATGAAGTAGGTTCAAACAGAAATGCATTTGATAGCACATTGACGCATTTGCTAAGGCCAATCCAATCAATGCAATGTTTCTTTGTGGGTCTAGGAGGAAGAAGCGAGCTGTGATCATGATGGTGACAGTGGTGGCTCTCTTAGCTGTGTGTTGGGCACCTTTCCATGTCTTTCACATGATGATTGAATACAGTGAGTGCCTGTCACTCTTCTTTGTTTTCCCTTTTCTAGAGAGTTTATAGTTCATTTCCTACTAGAGCATGCATTAAATCATTGATTTCTCACTGACTGCTGTTCATTAGGCTAATCAAATGTCAAATACTAAACATTGCCTTTGTGTATTAAAGAATACCAAGTCATCACACAGGTGATGCACAACTAGGATTAAGTCATTATTAGTTACAAAAGATAAAGAAAAGCTTTTCAAGTTTCTCCTATGTTGCCCCTCCTCTCCCTATGCTGTTTAGCATGGAGAAACACCTTGAGAACATTCTCTGTGTAGAACCTTGACTTGCACTTTGTGAATTTAATGAAGCTAGGAGTCCAATCCAATGCCTAGATGCAGTTTTCCTTCATTTGTTCACTGGTGCCTAACACAATTGTGTTTCTGGAGTGTAAAAGAACATGTGAAGGGTAACTGTGCTTATGTGAGGCTTGGTGTTATTGAATTGCAAGTCTATGAATCCTACATATATGCCAGGCACCAGGCAATGCATGGTGAGTGCATATTCCAAAGAGGCTTTGATCCAGGTACTAGACAGCATTTTCAAAGTCATTATGAGAATGTTTCACATCCTTAGCCACTTGCACAAGAACAAACCTTTAGAAATACTTATGGTAAAAATTTACTGTTATTTCTTGATCAAGCATTCTAAACTATTATTTTATTTCAGGTAATTTTGAAAAGGAATATGATGAAGTCACAATCAAGATGATTTTTGCCATAGTGCAAATAATTGGATTTTTCAATTCCATTTGTAATCCCATTGTCTATGCGCTTATGAATGAAAACTTCAAAAAAAATTTTGTGTCAGCAGTTTGCTATTGCATAGTAAAAGAAACCTCTCTAGCATGGAGGCATGGAAGTTCAGGAGCTATGGCTATGCAGAGGAGAGCAAAGTTAGCTGATGGAGAGAATCCCATAGAGATCAAGGGAGAAGTATTTGAGAACACCAACGTCAATGTCAAGTGGTGTGAACAGCCAAAGAAGAAGAAAACATCACAAGTTGCTTCCTGTCCTCTTTAGTTCTGAATTTCTGAGAACTCTGCTGTAGATGTAGACATTAATTTTAATGGAGTCTTCAGAGTTAGTACCTGTCATACTGTAATTGAAAGAAGATTACGTTGAGAAAATGTTGAGAGCTTTTACATTAGAAATGCTGGCAAACTCTTGAAAGGTGAAGGCAGCAGAATCAGGAATTTAAAGTAGTCCTCAGCTGCATAATGAGTTTTAGGGTAACTTGGCCTGCAAGAGATCCTGTCTCAAGAAGCCGAATTAATAACAACCGTACTTACTAATGATTGTGACCAAATATTTTTCCGTGGAAAATACATATGAACTACAAATTATTGAGTCATTCTTGTGATTCCTAGGTGAGGTTTTTTGTTTTTATTTTGCATTTATGACTGGTTTATCTATGTTTATGTCTGTGTACCATATGCATACCTGGGTGCCCACAGAGGCCAGAATAGGGCATCAGATTTCCTGGAAAAGGAGTTACAGAAGGTTGTGAGCTTTTGCTTCATGGATCCTGTGAACGAAACCCGAGTTCTCTGGAAGAGCAACCATCTCTTCTGCCCTAAAGTGGAGCTTTAAAAATCTTGTATAAAAAGCAATGTTCTTGCTAGTAATTTTTGTCTATGTGGTCAATGTGATATGACTTTCTATGTATTGCTAAATTGAATGAAAACATGAGAAATGCATCTTCCTCCTAGAATGTTAATTTAGTAGTTGAGCATCGCACATGACTGTTGAAGTTATGCTAATTCTTTTGCAAATGAAGCCCTTACCAAAGCTAGTAAGTCTAAGAAGATGGAGAAGCAGCCAAGCGTTAAGTAGCTTAGCAATATTGTACATGGGGGTGGAGTTTCTTAGAGCCCCGAGTGACCATTTCTGTGGTGACTGACAAGTTTCTTACCATTTTTGCAGTCTTCATTTGTTCTGGTGTAAACTGCAGTTGATGCATGCTCTATCCCATGAAGTCTCTATGGAAACTGGAGGAGACACAATTAGAAAATTGTTTTGACGAGCAAAGCAGTCTTTCCTTTTGAAGCACTGTTCTGCTCATGTCCCCAGCTTCCCCTCTCTTCCTGTTGGGAGTCTTGTCTTGACCCTGTCCAACTTGTCCCTCATAAATACATTTGGTTTCTCTACTCAGAAGAATAGCTTGAGGGACCTCATGTATGGACAGGACACACACACACACACACACACACACACACACCAAGTGACTTAAAATACAAATATTTGTATTTTTCAACCACTTATTCTCACTAGTGGGATGAACAACCTGCCCTTATATAAGTGTAATAGGTATAACTGAATAGTGCCTGTAAAATCTTGCTGCTCCATGGCTGCCCCCAAGAGGTGGGCTGGGATACTCAATAGATTCATCTACTCTGGTTTCTTCCCTCAAATCTTCTCTTGTTGGTTCAAACTCCCCCATGTCACAGACTCAGAGGTCACCCACCATCAGAGCATAGGACCATTTTCCTTCCAATATCTAAAACTTTCAAAGCCAGGTCGTAGCCCTGTAACCGACATGTTTTTTCTGCCTCCAGTTTCCAGCCTTGAGTCCTCTCAGCTGCTAACAAAAATGCCAGGATCACTGAGGCTACTTTGTGGTTTAAGCTTTAAGACCTGAGAACCGAAAACTGAGGCTACCATCTGCTTGGTAGACTTCCAGTGTGTCATGTAAAAGCATGCACGGAAAATATGAAGATGAAATAATGTGTGATATTGGGGAGGGGAAATGCAATATGACAGGGAAATTAGCACATCAAAGAGAGGGAGGCTGGTTTATGTGTTTGGTAATGGATTGTTTGGGTCATATTGTGAACTGTCTGCCTGTGTGCCTAGCTATCCTGTTAGAAACAGCAAATACTAACATGAATTTGAAACACTGCCTTTGGTTGCCTTTACTTCGCCATATCTGTACAATTTCTATTCTAAATATGACAGTGGAAAATATGTTATCAGGTATTAGCTTCTCAATTATTGAACATTAAAAAATTCCCAGAGCAGAGCAGAGCCTAACAAACTTAGGTACTAGGAAATAGTGAATATTTAAAATTATTGCCATCCTGGGAGCTGGAGAGATGGCTCAGAGGTTAAGAGTACTGACTACTCTTCCAGAGGTCCTGAGTTCAATTCCCAGCAACCACATGGTGGCTCACGGCCATCTATAATGAGATCTGGTGCCCTCTTCTGGCATGCAAGCATTCATGAAAGGAATGTTGTATACATAATAAATAAATAAAAAAAAATTATTGCCATCCTATGAAAGTGTCTGATGCCTCAGAATACCAAGTGCTTTTTAATATGTACACTGGCCAGTATCTGAATTTCCTTCCTCAACAACCATCTATTCAACCATTAACTCCACTTATTGATTGGATTATTGGGAATGTTTAATTTGGGAAGATTATCACAGATTCTGGATATTAATATCACTTTATCAAGTGGCAGAAAACTTTCTTTAGATGCTGTGTACCCATCACTCCTACAAGTATTCCTTCAAATTTTGTTAATATATAAATTATTTCTTAATTTACATGTTTACTTTAAGTCTCTATTAAAATACATCAATTTGCTTGTTCTGGGAGCATAATTTTAAAAAAGAAGTAGACACCTCATTTAATAGAGATTAAGAGTGAAACACAAACATCGTTTTGGCTAAAACACTGGAAATTTAACAAAACTAAACACTCACCCTGAAATTGCAATCTTTGTTGTAAGAAAGAGATAAAGGCATTCAGATGCAGCACACAAATTAAAGAAAACAATTGGGGCTGGTGAGAATTGGCCATGTTGTTAAGGGGGTGTTGGAGATGATGAGAAATGGGAGCCATGCATAGGATGAAGATGCAAACAGTTCATCATATTCCATCAATTTAAAAGGCCTGAGATAGGCATGGATGTTTTTAAAGCACTAAAAGTCCTTAGCCAGAAGCTGGCTATGGGATATTAAATTTCTGTGCTGTGAAGTTTTTGATAGAGTGAGGATATTTCTGCCTTCTGCCATTTATTTACTATCCTGGTTCAAACTTTTTTTTGAAATATTTTTTCCAATTCTCTTTTCCAGTGGCAAAAAAATCCACATAATGCAAACATTCCATTCTTTGAAATGTTTTAAGTGTGAATCTACTAGCATTAAGCATCTTCCTGATGTGCAACCATATCCACAACCAGTTTGCATGTGTCTTCTAGCTTACAAACTGACCTTAAATGACGTCTTTATTTTCCCTTCTCCTGCGGCAGCAGCCACCACTCTGATTCCCTCTGGATGCTTCTGACTCCTTTCCTGTACTCAAGGAGAAGTCCTAAGGACTTGTTTAAAGAGTCAGGCTTACAAATAATATAACTGGAATTTATTTCTTCTCAGGTTGTTTTTCATTTTCCCCTTTAACACTGTTAATACAACTGTGAGAATTGTTTGGTAAAAATCTGATAGGACATAGATTATTGGAAGTCTGCATAGTGACTGGTTTATTCTTAATTTTGGCGTTTCTGACATAAATTTATAATTACACATATTTCTGATGTTTCCTCTAGGTATTTAATATACAATGTCAGTTTAAGAACGTTTGATAGGTATTCAAAGTCCCAGAGTGTCCTTCTTTCATGTCAAATTAATTTAAAAATATCAGTAGCCTTCCTATATACAAATGATAAATGGGCCAAGAAAGACATCAGAGAAACATCACATTTTACAAAAGCCACAAATTCTATAAAATATTTTGGGGTAACTCTAACCAAACAAGTGAAAGACCTGTATGACAAGCACTTTAAGTCTTAGAAGAAAGAAACTGAAGAAGATATCAGAAAACAGAAAGATCTTCCATGACCTTGGGTAGGGATGATGATTGAGGAGGGATGAAGAGGGGAGAGGGAGAGCAGTGAAAGAGAGGTCTTGATAGAGGGAGCCATTATGGGATTAGGGAGAAACCTGGGGCTAGAGAAATTCACAGGAATTCACAAGGGTGACCCTAGCTAAGACTCCTAACAATAGTGAAGAAGGTGTCTGAACTGGCCTTATCCTATAATCAGATTGGTGACTACCCTAATTGTCATCGTAGAACCTCCATCCAGTAACTGATGGCAGAAAGGGCAGAAAGCCACAGCTAAGCACTGGCCAGAGCACCAAGAGTCCAGTCAAAGAGAGGGAGGAGAGATTACATGACAAATGGGTATCAAGATCATAACTGGGAAACCCACGGAGACTCTGTTCCAAGCTAGTGGGACCTCAAAGACTCTGGACCAACAGTTAGGGTGCCTGCATAACACCAAACTAGGCCCTCTGCATGTGGGTGACAATTGTGTGCCTTGGTCTGTATGTGGGGTCCCTGACAGTGGAACCAGGATCTATTCCCAGTGCATAAGCTTGATTTTAGAGCCCATTCCCTGTGGTAGGATATTTTTCTCAGCCTTAATGTAGGGAGGAGGGGTTTGGTCCTGTCTCAATGCCATGTGACAGACTTTGTTGACTCACAATGGGAGACCTTAACCTTTCTGGGGAATGGATAGGGGAAAGAGGAGGAAAAGAAGAAGGAACTGTGGTTGTTGGTATGCAAAATGAATTAAAAATTTTAAATAAAAACAAATAATAAAGAAGTGTTGTAGGAGGATGCTTGTTTCTTCCCTGGCCACCCAGACTCTTGAAGTAACTACACAGAAACTATATTAATTAAATCACTGCTTGACCAATCACTATAGCATATCCCTAGCAAGCTCTTACATATTAAATTAACCCATTTCTATTATTTTATATTTTACCATGAGGATCATGGCCTACTGGCAAGTTTCCAGCTAACAGCAATATGGTGTCTCCCTGACTCTGCCTTCTTTCTCCCAGCATTCAGTTTAGTTTTCCCTGACTAACTCTATTCTTCTAAGCCACTGGCCCAAACAGCTTCTTTATTCACTAATAAATAAAAGCAACACTATGAAGCTGTTTGGGCCAGTGGCTTAGCAGAATAGAGCTAGGAAGTGAAAACTAAACTGAATGCTGGGAGAAAGAAGGCAGAGTCAGGGAGATGCCATGTAGCCCTGCAGGAAACAGTCTCTCTGGAACTTTACCAGGTAAATCACAGCCTCATAGCAATACACAAATTAATGGAGATGGGTTAATTTAAGATATGAGTTAGCCAGAAATATGCTTAAGCTATTGGCCAAACAGTATTGTAAATAATACGATTTCTGTGTGATTGTTTCAGAGCTGAGCAGCCGGGAACAAACAAGTGGGCTCTTATTATAAAGAAATAAAAAAAGAGTAGGGAAATGTGGAATCATGCTTATGCTTCAAATTAACCTTAAAATATACAGAATGAGAGGATACAAATTCAAAGAAACAAATAATATGATATGATATGATATGATATGATATGATATAATATAGAATGTCTCTTTTTCTTACTCCTACCCTCCCTTTCTCTCTCCATTCCCATCTAATTTTCATACTGGGACTCAAATGCAGGGCCTCACACCTGGTAGGAAAATGCTGTACCACTTAGCTCTATTCCAGGACTGGTATGACACTTCTGATATACAATCCCTAGAATGCTCCATGTTGACAAGGGTCAAAAACAAAGGAGGAGTTGCAGGGGTCAAGGTGCTACACTTTCCAGTGTTAAATTTATGGAGATGGATAGTGATGATCCATCTTAATAATTATGTACTTAATAATGTGCATGCAGTTGATACAATTTAACCAAATACCTAAAATGGCAAAAGTGGTGAATTTTATTATGCATAAATAACTGTATACATCAAATCAAAGAGCAATAACTAAACAAGAATCATCTGTGAGACGGTTCAGTGGATAACTGTGCTTATTGCCAAACCTAACAGCCCATCTGTTTCCTGTGGTCACATGGTAGAAGCAGAGAATTGACTCCCACCAAACTGTCCTTGAACCTCCACTCACTTGCTGTGGCACACATATGCCTCTTTCCGAACACATGTGCACACATGCACACAAAGCAAATAAATAAAAATATAATGAAAAATCTAAATATACAATTATTTTCTGACTGAGCAACCCCATTGCTGGATTTTTATACTAGAAAAATTGACAATTTGTGCTTAAATGAAACACAGCACATACATATTGAATGATACTTCACTAGCAAAGGGTCAGACCTGGACCCAGCTGAGGTGTTCTCCAATGGATGACAGGTTAGACAATGTGTGAATATACTTAATATAATAAATGTATTC